GAGAAAAAGGGGAATCATAGTCATTCATGAATAGGGAATGAATGGGTCCGCACCAGCCGCTGGTTCATTCATTAACTTCCACTGACTTTTATTTTTTTTTAACCTTTTTAAAAAAAAACTTTTTTTTAACCCCTTCCTACTTATCTGATCTCCAGCCTCTCTGTAATCTGTATAATAACCCCTCACCTCCCTGATCCTGCATATCTACACCTTAACCCCCTTTCTTTCCATCCTGCCACTGTAGGTAACCTGCTCATTAACCCTGTCACCTCCTGACCCCTGTGTATGACCTGTACAATAATGAATCTAGTACACCATTACCAAGCTCCATATTTTAACCCCATACACACCGGCATGTTTCTTCACCTCCAAGAAATTAGAGCAAAAATTGAGATCACCTTGAGGTGTCTACTTTTCAAAAAGGGTAATTTCAGGGGTTCTCATACTGTCTTGGCATTTATATTTTTAACAGAAAACTATTTTTTTTATGTATTGTGATTTTTATTGAAAATATTTGTTTGTTGTATCACACAGAGATGCACTAGATCACTTCCCAAGTCATTTGGTCCTACATTCACTTTATAGCGCAGTGTACTTTATTGTTTATCGTCAGTGTTGTTATAGACTTAGCACAGCAGCATATTTTTTATTCAGGGTTGTCCCACAGCACGAAACCTTTAGTTCCTATATATTTTTATAGTATATTTTTTTTTTGTTATGATTGTGTGTTTTCCACCTTTTTTTGATGCGCTATTAGTGGGAACTTGTATTCTTTTGTTGTCCAAATGAGAATGAACACACAAAACATTGCCGACTTAGGTCTAAACACATTTTTACAACTCCGATCTTACAGGTGTAATCAAATGTCACAAATGCTATTTAGAACATATTCTGTAGTAAAAAGCCTATGAGGTTCATCCAAGAAAAAAACCATTATAAACAGAACTCTTTGCCCACAGTTGATCTAAAAGACGGTAAACCAGGAAAATAAAGTAAATAATAGTGATCCTTCCTCTCCAAGTGCAACTGAATATTCCCGGGATCAACAATCTCTGGTGTTAATACTTAATAAAGAATATAAATATATATATATGTAATATCCACATATATTGTTCACATTAGGCTGGGTTCACACCTGGGCGTATCGAATATTTGCGGTAAAAAAACGCACGACAAACGCGTTCAGACGGCCTGAATTACGCCCAGGTGTAAACCATACCCATAGGAAACAATAGGATTTCGGTGTTTGAGCGTTTTGCAGAGCGTACGAACGCGCTACAAAACGCCCAGGTGTGAACGGGGCCTTAAGGAATGCATCCAGATTTCTAAAACCATAAACTGAGATTGTGGTGTTGTTGTTACCAAAAAAATATTCTCAAACAGTTCAAGAGCAATAACTCCAATCATATAGAGATCGTTAGTCCTCAATTGGTAAGCGGGGCATTTAAACTGTGGAATTCAGTCATGACCATTTGCTTGTCTTACAGTAGAAAATAATATTTATTAAAACAAACACAGATATGAACATTCCGCGGGGGGAATTCCCAATAGATGTTCTATGACATAAATAGTTATACAGTGTAGGAAGCAGCTGCAATTGGTTAGCACACAATAGGCATGTTGACAGAACAAGTGGCTAAAGAAGTCACGCCATACATAGTAACAAGTCACGTACAGGATAATCTTTGACATGTTATCAGGTGACTGGCCATAAAAACAATTAAGCATTCCTCTGTAAATTACCACAAAGGAGGGTTCATTACAGGAGCGAACCCCATTAGCTTCAGACATTTTTTTACCTTCCTCATTTGATGTTTAAATTCAATTCTTTATCATCTCCCCCTTTGTTTTCGTTTAGCATATACCTTATACTCATGACTAAGGCAGCTCAGAGGTCCCCCTTTAACTAAAATCCAGTCCTTTCCCATAGATTCCCAATCCCAATCTTACCAATTAATACGCTACACAAGGGATGGAGTTTCAATTGCCACAGCAGCTTTTTATTACAAACCTTATAAATAACAACAACAACAATAACCGTACAGTAAGGGACCAATCTAGGACAACATAGCTGAACTGGAAAAATTCTCCAATTCAGCTCACTTTTGACTTCAGCTATGTTGTCCTAGATTGTTCCCTTCTCCGGCCTTCTCCAAACTCTTCACCCTTCTGTGAATAACCCTGTCAGTCTTTTTTCTCCATAATAAATCCAGATTAAACAAATCTACATCACCCATCAAAGTATTTCTTTACATTTTCCCAAGCACTTACAGTCATCATGTTTCCAAACAGTTGCCTCCAACTTTCTCAGCTCGGCTTCCCTGAACTTCCTGTCCAGTACAAGATCACAAGGGGCAAAGCAGTCTCCAGCAGCTGTTCATCTACAAGCTTGGAGACAGGAGGAGGTGAGAGCAGGGGAGTGGCTTGCCTTGCTGTGCCTGTGTGTTTGTGCAGACACACACACAACTTACTAGTACACACAAGGATGGCTCCATAGGACCTTGCAAGGGAAAGGAGCAACCCTAAAACAGGATATCAGGACCAGTGCTCAGGGAACCAGCTGATTCTCCAGAAAACTAAAACTTTCAAACATTAAGGAGCAGCGTCCATTGTAAGTGATTTCATCAGCATTTAAGATAGCTTGAAAACATTTTGACTTTAATATCACTTTAGTTAGCCATATGTTGGTTTTTTTATTGTATGAGGTATACCGAGAGAAAAACCACACAAATGTAATAATAAATATAAAAATAAACAATCTCCATGCTGTGAAATCCCTGGGGCACTGAGCTGTAGGGCGAGATCCCTAGGTGCAGGCATTGTAAGAAATATTTTTATGGTTCAGTAAATTAACATAAAGGAAGTAGATAAGGGGCTGGCAATTGATAACGTAGATGGTGGTGCCACTCAAACTCCACCCAGCATAAGCCGTACGAAGACTTTGTTTGTTTTGTTGGTTATATTTCTGCTTCACAGTGCTCACCGACAACAGCTCAACCTGCTCACAATAGAATGGCTTCCATATTCGGCTTAGCAATCCTCCTGAAAAGTCTTCTTTCCCTTCCTACCGTCTTCACCGGTAAGTTTTATCAAAGTCATTTTATCTGGAATTTTTTTTTAAAGAAAGCAAACTCTTGTCTGTCAAATGAAATAGTTTATTTGGAACAAAACAACTGAAAGGCTAAAACAGCACAAACAAGCCGAAAGTCAAAACAAGTCTGAGCTGGTTGTCGTGAAGACTTTTTTGTTCTTGTTTTATATGCACTTTTGTTTCCAGTTGTACTCGGTCACCAGTGCAATGCTTTGTATGGTGTCATGCACACTCTCGTCCTGGATTCAGCCGGTCATTCACTGTTCCGGGATTTGATAAAATTGGATTAAACTTCAACTCCAGAATAGTTGTAGGTGAACTAACGAGTGTAACGCAAACTGTGCGTGTTTGTTTTATGGGTCTCATGATTAGTGATTGTCTCTAATCACTTGGAACACCAGCGGATATCTTTTAGATTGTAATTACTGTGTATATATCTGTGTTGATAACATATCTTAAAGCTGCCAATCAATAACTAATATATTTCAAAATGATCTGCTGGTGGCTGTTTTTGTACTTGCAATGTTATGGTTATCATTCATGTTTATTAAATCTTCATTGATGGAAAGTCATGATAGGACCAGCCTATGAGCTCAATACGTATCAAATGTCTATCACCGTTCAGCCATAGCTGCTCTCCAAAATGTGGAGATACAAAAGCTGAAATGTTATTGGAGTTTATGGCATTGTTAAAGCAAGTGCAGGTACCACAAAGTGCCTACTTCAATAGGTTTGGTAACTGTGATCCGGTTTAGGTCCTGACAAACTCACCATGAAGTCAATGTAGCTCCTTTTAGATAAATTAGCAACAAACTAACCTTCAAGGGGTGTCTAAACCCCAAAAGGTCAAACCTCACCATTATACATCCCCCCAGTGTGCCCCCACATGAGTTACAAATTCCCCCAGTGTGCCCCCCACATGAGTTACAAATGCCTCCAATGTGTGCCCCCCCCCTCCTCCTTCCCATCATTTACAATTCCTTCTCCAGCTACCACACAGTGTACACACTTTACATAATCCACCTGAGATAATTTGCCCCCCCCCCCACACACACACACACACACACACTCACACACACTCACACACAGCACCATTGTCTCCTTTTTGCTGGTGAATGGAAAGAAGGCAGAATTAATTTCAAAACACCAGCAGCCCAATTGGCTGAATTGGCTCCTCTTCTGATTGGCTGGAACAGGTTGAATTTCACCACTGTGTGTGCCCCAATGTTTTCCTGTAGCAGGAAAAGACCCTTGCTCTCTACATGGAAGCAGTGGGCTCTCTGCACACCTCTTGCTAAAGTTGCCCATACACCTTACGATTATCGTCCGATATTCGTATGTGATAGCGTTTTCCTCTGATATTCGTAAGGTTGATGGGCAGAGTACAACCGCAAATACTGTACAATCGATCGACTTTTGACTAACCAGCAGGTTAGAAAACTTTGGCCGATCGTACGATTTTCGCAAGGTTGGTGGCGTTTCCGTACATCAAAATTCGTACCGTTGATTACCGCAATTCGTCCAGGTGCTTTCTTTTAATTACCGCTGATCCAACCTTGCGATAATCGGGACAGGATGGGGCATCACGGTTCGATCATCGGATGAAAAGTGTCGTCTGATGATCGCAAGGTGTATGGGCAGCCTTAGTCAGAACTAGAGCTCTCCAGTAAGCAAAGCTCATGTTTATGTTGTGATGAGAAAGCTCTAGCTCTGACTCAGCAGGGGGCATGTCAGTGGTGAGCTTTTTGAGCAGCAAGCTGAGGATGTTACATAATAATCCTTTGTGGTGGTCTATGTTACCTTGATGCTGGTGGCCTGCCATGGTCTCTGTACATTGTATTAAAATTTCTTGTCTTGTTTTTTTTTGTCCCCCACAGACAGTCATAGGCTGAACTACTGTTTTACGACCATGTGGTCCCCAAAGCGGTCCACCCCACCACACACCGAGGTAACTGTATCTCTAGATGATGTTCCAATTTTAAAATACTCCAGCACCAACCATGAACTGCAACTTCTGTTTAACTGGCTGGAGAATGTTGATTCTGGACACTGGAAGGCTCTGGAGAAAACTGCAAAGTATTATGTAGTGCGGCATCAGCACACTATAAAGCGTCTGCACCCATCGCAAGGTAAGCAGAATAGTCATTGATTGCCTTGTTTCATTTTCTGAGCTGTATCTACACTAAAGCACTGCCCACTTCCAGCTCAGAAGACAACCAGAATGTATAGCTGATGACTATTAGAAGTAGCAATGAGAAAATTTGTTTGCAAATCATTGACCTGCTTGTTTCATTCCTCCTGAATATCTGCATGGTAATTATGCCATACTGTGGAAAATCATACAATTCATGGGCCACAATTGACTGGGTTCCTTAATTGTCTCCAGTATATCAGAGAGATATCCATGCAAATGTTCAAGCTGGTCAAAAATTCCGTTAGTGTCCCAGTTCAATCTTCTCTATTCAGGACATTGAAGCTTGTGTCTTTACAAGTCAGCTGTGGTGCCACATGCTGCTGAATCGGAAATGACAGGTCTACAATCATACATAATCATACATATATATATGCTTACTGAAATGTATTATTTTATACCTCTCCTTTAACAAAAATGGACTGTTGAAAGGATAAAAATAACATTATTGAAAAATGTTGGCTCCCTTAGCTCCACCCCATTATGTTCCCTCTAAACAGCTGCTACCTAGAGATATTCTTCACAGTATAGGCCCATTATCAATCCAGTAATGTCTAACAGGCACTTACCCCCTTTCCCCCCTTATCAATATTCCTCTAGTAGTTTTATGGTATTACTTTTTTGCACCTTTCTGTTACTTTTCTTGTATAATTGCCTGTTTATGGAGCAATGACTCTATCTCCCTTTCAGATGACATGGATTCCTATGTTTTCCAAGTGAAATTCGGTTGCTACATTTATGAGGATAATTCTACGAGTGGGGAAGAAGAGTTTGGTGTTAATGGCAGAGATTTCATCTTTTTGGACAATGAGAAGAAGAAGTTTATGGCATCTGCGGAAGAAGGGAAGTTTTTAGCCAGGGAATGGAATAGGAGGCCGAACAGTGCCCAGCGGCAATTCCACTACAAAGACGTGGCCTGTGTTCAGTGGATGAGGATTTATCTGAACATCAAAACCGACAACTTTACAAAAACCGGTGATAATAAATTCTTGTTTGAAGCAAGTCTGTTTGAGGTGGACACAAATTTGTGTCCTGAAACACTACAGTAATTATTTTTACTTATTACATACACATGACATGTCATCTGGGCCACTTTACAGGCAAAAACCAACAGCATGAGTTAAAGGGAAAGTACAATGCTTTCGTACATAGCTTTTTATGATTCTTGCAGATGCATATTACATATATCCCTATATTCATCCAGCAGATGACGCTCCCAGGAACTTTTCACTTTACCTCCTGTTGTAAAAAAAACCCCAAGAACTTGCTATTTACAGAGCTCAATAGCTCAAGATGAAATTTTAACACATGAGAGATTCAGAGCAGTGATTCCTCCCCATCCTGCCATACAACTCAGTTCAAGTTCATAATTAGAGACAAAGTGCATGAAATGGAAATACAAAAATGATGTTCTGGCCATTTTATGTTCTCCGACAGCTTTTACCTTTGATGCTGCTTTTATATTTGACTTTGAAATACCAAGTTAATATTTTCATTGTAATGTATAAAGGTTCTTGCTTTTTTTTTCAGTGCGTCCAGGGGTGAAGGTGTGGGGTCGTATCTCAGACGAGGAGATAACAAGACTTCACTGTCTGGTGTACGGGTTTCACCCCAAAGATGTTATCGTTAAGTGGGTGAGGAATGGGGTAGATGATGTTCCTTCAGATGAAATGAGTCCGATCCTTCCCCATCCTGACGGCACCTATCAGATCAGAGTCAGTGTGGAAGAGCCAACAAGGGATGGAGACACTTACTCCTGTTATGTGGAGCACAGCAGCCTGGAGGAACCTCTCAATGTATACCTAGGTGAGTGCAATGAGAGCAATGCGGTGTGTAATGACCAACCTGCAGTATGAATCACAGCACACGATTGCACCAACAAAAATATGCATACTGTTTAGGGACAGCAATAATGAGGGCCGCATGGATGAGACTGACAGGCAGGGCAAGTCCAGGCTCTTAGTTATGATAGTCTTACCAGTCAGGCATGGCTGTATGTTCTGTTATTTTATTCTATTACTTCCTTGTCAGAACAGACATTTCAGCCCAGTGTCAGGCTGTAAGGCTCCAGTGAAAGCTGCTGTCTCCTGCATGAGGTCATCGCTGATAACTGGCACTCTGCCTAGGGTGCAGGAAGAGGGTAGAACTTTGAATTAACTAAGAGTCTTTAGTTTTCTTTCATGTAACTCTGACAGCACAGTGGCATACCTGGGGACAGAGCAGTCCCCCCTCTGTACAGCCAGCTGGGAGCGCAGCTACAGCCGGGTGCAGGGGTGAACTGGGCTGGAGACAGCCCCTCCGCAATTGTTTTTGGCTGCTGTTGCTCCATTCAGACCACTGTCACCCAGGAATCCTAAATTTGAGAACAGCTCACCCACCTCCTGAGTCCCCGCTGACAGCAGGGACTCAGGCAAAATTAGTCTTTCAGTACTCTCTTCTTTTGTGGCACGATCTGTCAGGGCTGTAAAAGTAGTGAAGACTTCCTTCCTTGCTGTCCATATATTACGGTTCCCCATGTATTGTAACAATTCACTGCTTGTTGCTCAAGTAGTGAATATAACTGTCCATTTGTTGCCCATGTATTGTCACTATTTCCTGCATATTGTCCATCGCCGCTGTTTAGAGGACCAAATTACTATAATGTAAGGCAATTATCGCTATGTTTCTTTTTTGACCATTATTAGTTTCATTTCATGATTATTATTGAAAATAATGTTGATATTTAGAGGAAGGTTGTTTAAAAAAATCCTCCCTAGGTTTCAAGTACACTTGGTACACCACAGTGACAGCACCTTTGTTATATGACAGGTTTTTAGCATCTCAGCAGCACTGAGCTTTGGCAGGGCGTCCTTTATAGTGGGAGGTATAGCTGACAGGGAGAGAGTACAAGTAACTAATCAAAAATCATCTTTGGAAGCTAAAAGTGCACTATTATAAGCACTAACATTGCAGAGGTTCGGAATATTACAGATGCACACTGGTTCACTTTAAAGTTGCTCTGATATTCTATAATGTTTTTTGAAACAAAAGCTAAATTAGGGTAAATGATTGAATATTTTGTAAGAGTTATATAATTGCCTAATATTACCTATTATTATATAAATGTATTTAACATTTTTTTTCTTTGTGATTCATTGTGCCCAGAAGCTGATCGTATCTCCTATACAGAAAAGAGAAGACCACATAAATGGATGATGCTAGTCTCCCTGGTTGCTGTTATTTTGCTAGTCTTCGTTGTGGTATGCATAAAGATTTCAGGTGGGTAGAGAAAATCTCCCCCTGGTCCATTGTCGATCTGTGTTGTACCAGTGAGTCAGCAACCTTTGGGTAATTGTTCTGTTGGGACCATTTGCTTGGTTTTGGATTACTAGACCTTTCACCTGCACAGAAAATTCACACTAGTTAGGCAAATTTAGGCAGATTATAAGCTATCCATATGTTCTGGTATGTGCAAAGTAACTGGAGAATCACACATGGAGGTAAACATAGGCATGTGCAGCCTATGGCATTAGGGTGTGCACACAAAAGTACAAACACACACACGTGTGTGTGTATATATATATATACACACAGTATATGTATGTATCTATATATATATATATATATATACTGTATATATATATATATACACACACACTGTATATATGTGTGTATATATGTGTGTTTTATACACACACACACACACAGATATATATATATAAAATATACACACACATTTATACACTTACTTACATACATACATACATACATACACAGACCTGAGGCATCATGGCCTCCCATCTCTTCAACTGTCCCTTACCTCTTCAAGCAGGGGTGCAGTAATGAAGCAGGGAACCTGGCAGGTGGTCATTTGACCGTGTGCATGTCTTCCTGATTGGTTGGAAAACCTGGGAAGCCGCAGCCACACTCCCTCGCAGCTTCCCAGGCAAAAAGGACTGCAGCTGTTATGTGAGAAACGTAAGTTGCAAGTGCTGCTGTGCAGTGGCAGATCTAAGGAACAAGGGGCCCTGGTGCAAGATTTTATCTTGGTCCACCCCTTCCCACTCCTAAAGGGGGAGGCAGGAGCGGATCTCACTGGCCCCCCAACACCTACCCCCGGCGGACTCTGCACCAGAGGAACTTATACCCTAATGTCCCCCCACAGTCTCACACTATTATTATACATTTATATAGCTCTGACATATACCGCAGTGCTGTACAGAAAACAATGAGCCAGTCACATTTATTTCTGTACAGAGGAGCTTACTCTCTAATGCAGAATGGCACTGGGTGTAGGGGGACTACAAATCCCAGCAATACATTATACAGCAATGCAGAACAGTAGATGAATTGGACTCAAGACTCTGGAAATCGTCCATTATGGGGACAGATGTGTCCCCATATTGGATGATTTCCCCTCATCTCTTGTTTTGATACCAACTACAAAATCTTGGGTTTTACTATCTTGATAACAATGATCAGAAAAAATAAAGAGGATGAATCTCCTTAGTAGGGACACACAGCAGCAAAACTTGAAAGAGTTTTTAACATTTCCACACCTCATCCAAAACAAAGCAAACATTTGGGCTTTAGAATCCCTATAACAATTGCACAATAATAACAGTTTTCTTTTCCCCACGCAGGGCGAAAAAACAAGGCGTTCAACGAACCAGACTAAGAACAGCTCCATATGGACCTCTTCAACCACCATTCTGCTTTTCTTGTCTTTTTGATTTAGTGTTGTGTGAGAGCGATTCATTTGTTGATGCTTTGTGTAATGTAACAAAAAGTGGATGAAACAGTTACGCACTGGCAGACCATTGCCAGGGAAACAAGTTTACATGTTTTTATTTTTGCTTAAAAAAAAAAATATTTATCCTTTGTATTTTTAAATAAACATTTATTACATAACAGATGAGAATGGATTCCCAAAGCACAAAGGATTGTCCGAAGAGAATGTACATTACAATCCTTCTGCCTTTTTGTTGGCTTTTTGCTACTTGAAACCTTAAGACGCATCTGTCCAATAAAGGAGGAGTCAACATTCTCATTCACTTGTATGTGTAAATTTCGTCTTAAAAAGCCTGTTGTCTACAAAACTTCTTACCAAAAAGCGATAAAAGAGCTGAAAACATCAAAAAGAGTATGCAGATTAGAGATATGCAATATTTAATATACTCACCCAATAGTTCTATTCAATTCCATTATTTCTGTGCGCTAACATCTGCTTATATATGTACATAAATATCATTTATTTTCATTATATTGCATACTGCTGTGAGTTGTATGTTTGCTCCCGTGTAATTGTACTTACATTTAAAGAAAGAAAGAAAGAAAGAAGGAAGTTTGGACCCCTCTATCACCCTTTTTAAAGATGTCTGACAGTTTCTCGGGGTCATTTAATGCTATAAAAAGGATAACAATTTTATTATAATCTAAAGAAAAAATTTGTAGCAACAACAAAGAGCAACAAGTATACAATGAAAAACCCCATCACAAACACCCCATAAAAAACATTAAAATCCCCTCAAGGTGCCTCCCATGTGGAGCGAAACATGTCAGGTGTGAGGTGGCTGATGCCTGTGCGTTGATTTCCGATGCCGATGCAACTCAAGCTCTGATATCCATTCATGGTTTGAAGGACCCATATTGTTTACATATTTGCGATCCTGAGATCTGCCTTACTAGAAGCCTTTGGAGATCCAAGGGACACACTCTTTGAATGGCCAGATACCAAAGAATCCGGGTGGGATTGTTACAATTTCATATTGTTCATTGTTTACAGTTGGATACATGACCGGAGGACTTCTTAGATTGTACTACATCATAACATCATATATCTGATTATACCCTATAGGTGTACAACAGGAAGCATGGTATATCCCCCCGCCCCCAAGGACGTACCGCCTGGATTTTTACAAACTTTCTTTACAATGTGATTCCGCATCAGTCCCGGCCATGTTTGGATTAAACTCCAATGATTTATAACTAACAGAATTTATGGATTTAGAGGTATTATTATATAGGCAGAATGCAGCCACAGCTCTCACCGAATTATTGCTACATTTATATACTGTCTCTACATGGAAACTACAGGTTTGCTATTTGAATACCGCCATCAATTTCATATTGAATGAATTAATATGCATATTAGGACATTCACTACACAGTTATATTGTCACACGTTATAGTCCGCACAGGCTAGCCCCTCCCCCCCCCAGGCGCTTTGAGGGGATTTTAATGTTTTTATGGGATGTTTGTGGTGGGGTTTTTAATTGTATACACGTCTGTTTTTATTTGGATTATAATAAAAGTGTTATCCTTTTTATAGCATTGAGTGACCCAGAGAAACTGTCGGACATCTATACCACCCTTTTTAGAGGGGTCCAAACTTTCTTTGTTGTGTTTTGTAGGGTGTTGTGTGCGATGAGGTTTCTCAGAATCAAATAGTAGTAGTATAATATAGTTAAAGAAACATTATTTGTTTAAGTGGGAGGACCTCCAACCCCTTGTAGCAAAATTGTCCATTTATATTAATGTTTTTATATGTCTGTTTCTCGCAAATTGGTGGTTGAATTAAATTACATTTTAAATGAAATTGGAATGTTGTCTTATTTTTCTCCTCACATCTCTATAGATTGCTTTCTAGTCTACCAGGTTTGCATGCTGGAACTTGGGAATACCCATCTGATTATTCAAACCTGTACATCTTCTACCTGTTATAGAATAAAACAGTACATTACACTATGGGCCTTGCCTACACAGGATCTAGGTGTATACTAACAGTCGCAGTACTAATCAGGATTGATCGCTGAGTGTTTGTGAAT